TTCTACCACATGCCCTATTGTGTGAACATATGCATGAGTCTATTGAAAGTTTTCAGAAGATGGGCAGGCCACCAGTTGCTGGTCTCCTGCAGTTCCAGTAGACATCTGTTGCCCCAGAGCATTAACCAATCTGTTCAATGAGACATCCTTCCTTTGTTGGATAGAATGATGCAGACAACAGCACTCGCTGAAATACAATGGTAATTAAATACATAGAATCTACAGCAGTAGGTATTTATTACATATTCATTATTTTATTTGCATTGTTGCAGTATCTTTATAATTTGGATAACTGATACATTCATTTTTTCCTTTTCCAATCAGCTCTGCACTTGTGACAAGTAATGACAGTGTTTCAACTAACTGTGGTTTCAGTATTTTCCATTTTGTGTTTAAAAGACTGAGAAAAAGTCTGCCTGTGTGAAAACATGCTAAACTATTTCCCTGTAGATTGTATCTTCAGCAACTTTTGACAATCTTTTGAGAATACGCAATTTCTGTGCCACATGATGCACTATTTTACTCCTTGTTATTTTCCTCTGTCAACTATATTTGCATTCAATTGATTTTCTGATGCTCAGTTGTAAGTGGAAATACACTGAATACACATTAAAAGATTAGATTATCTCCTTGCCCACATCCCTTTGAGAAATATTTGTGTTTTGTGTGAGGGTGAACTAAAGAGCTGACTGTTGTTAAATTGCTAGTGGAAAACTGTGGTGATTTCTAAGAAATGGGAAAAGATTATACTTTTGCAATGTAGTAGCACAGTGCTCATTTGGAGTATTACAGTTATACTTGATAAAAGTATTTGACTCAGTGATACAGTTTTTTGGACCTATAACAGTGAACCTAGTGTGAGGTACTGTGATTTTTAGACAGGCTATAGTTTAAAACATACACTGTCATGTCTAAATTGGGAGTTTTATTAACTTTTTCGTTAAAAATACAGATTCTGCTATTCAGCTGTGGTGAGCATAACCAAAAGTTGAAGACTTTGTAAATAAGAATTTTTCGACTGACGGTTGGTTGGTTGGTTGCCTCTCAGTTGAGTCAGAATTTGTATCAGGTATTTTTCCTAGCTATATTGCATTGTATCATTAAGCATACTTTAAAACCATATGTGCATCTTGAGAGTTCCTTGTAAATAAAGGGTGCAAGGAGTTCTTTCTTACCTGATTTTACTCCTTGGGTAAATGTGACCTTCTCTGATTTTCATGAGCTTCATTGTCCTATATAGGTACACTGGTATTGGTTTAGAATACACACTCATTCAGTAGAGTGGCTGGCATGTTGTTGTTCACTAACCAAATCAAGATAAAACAATCAATTCCAACAGTATTCAACAGTGAATCTCATAAAGGACATACTGGCAACTCCAAAGTCTAGCAGTTCTATAGGGGTGCAGTTGACCACAAATAGAGTGTGCAAAGTTCACAAACAAAAAAAAATTGTCTGAAAATAGTTTTCATGGAGGGTTTAGGCCAAATGCCAGGAATAGGGTACTGCTTATGCAAAACTATTTCAGAAATCTTTAGCTTTGGATTTACAGTATATACATAATTTTAACTACCCTTTTAAAGCAATAATATGATGACTATGTACTATCTATGGCAGATTTGAAAGCTGCTGCTCTTTTTACCTTCTTTAAATAGTTTCTGAAAACCAGCAGAGTTCTGTGTAAAAGAAGCAGTTATATATTGGAGCGAGGTGGAGGTTGACAGGGGACTTGAAGCAGATAGATGCGAGACTTACTATGTATACATTCCTAACAAGGGACAAAGCTCAGTTTATGGTCATTTTTCATACACAGTTGATTTGCAAATCATCTCAAGTATGTTTCATATAATGCCTGATCTTCAGAGGCATTCATATGCTAGTGACTCCTTTGAATGCCATTGGAGGGTGTTATAATTGTAGTTGCTGTAAAGCACTTAAACTTCAAGGAAGAGGCTATTGGAGAATGACTTAAGTATTATTTTAACTAACATTTAAAAAAAAAAAAAATCCTCTGTGCACTTCAAGCTTTGTTGATTCCAGGCTGTTAATATGCAGCCTCCTTCCCCCCTCCAAAAAAATACCCCTCCCTTTACTTTTAGTTCAATACTAAAATGACATTTCACAGTACACGGATTTAGGCAGTGACCCATTATCTCCCTGTATTCTGTGGCAGCAGTACATGAGCCAGCTCAACTTTTCAGTCCAGCTTAAAAGTGTTGCCCATTAACTAGACTTCCTCGAGTCAGACCAGATTGTGGGGTTGGTGGAACAATGATGTCGGGGCTTCCAGATCGGTTTGGCAGCTGCATTGTTCTCTGAGGGGAAACCAGACGCACTTAAGTCCCGCTCTCTTTCATAGGCTTTTGTTCATACCAAATTATTCTTTTGCTGTGCTAGTATTCATGATGGTATGTTAAAGGGGTGCATCCTAGCAACTAAAGGCTGGTTGCTAAGCAGCCTTGCTTCCAATAGGGACTTCTTGTTTGAGATTTTTTTCTTTCTTTCTTTCTCTCTTTCTTTCTGGTTTTTTTTGGGGGTGTCAGTCCTGTGAAGGCCACCATGTTGATTTTTTTAACTATCTTTTTATTGGGATATTGTTGTGATTTGTTACTAGCACTATGCCATCTAGTGCATTATGTTAGTTAATAAATCACTGTGTGAAGAGGCTTGTTTCCTAAATTCTCATTGTGTTTAATCTGTGGTGTTGCTTGAAATCCTGAAGCTTGGAGTGAAGAGAAAGTAATATTCCTTGATATGCTGCTTGAGAGTTTCCAACCCTACTGTCTTCAAACAATATTAGATCTGAATAAAACTTGAACATTTTCTTTCCTGTCAGTCTTGCTTGGATTAAGGTGTTAGAGATGAAAACACTGCTGATATATTTATTTGTTTGTTTTAACTAGAAGTGCTTAGGTAAAGTAAATTTTTGTGCCCCATTGGTCAGAAGGTCTACCAGAGTGGTGATATCTTAGCACTCTGCACCTGCAGAGTCTGCTTTTATTGAACCACAGATTGTAATTTTTGCTTGATTTTTCTCTCTAGTCTTAAACCTGGATGAATTTCACCTTTGTGCACTTTCAGATACTTGTTCCAAGAAGAGGAAAGTACACCATATTCTTAAAATACTGGGTCATTCTTAAGCACCAACCTGTCAGTGGATGGGAAAGTTAATGTCTTTGCTGACACAGATTTTGGCTGTTCATGAGACATACCTGTAATTTCTGTTAGTATAGATCAAGAGATTCTGTTTGACAGAAAGTTTTATTGGGATTTATCCTCCTTGATGAAATTTGTGTCTGTAACATATCTGTCAAGCTCAAGTGAAGTTATTTGCCTCTATGTCTTGCTTTTACATTCTGCCTTGCAAGTTGAAAGTGTGAAAGAGCTCTTTGTTTCATAGTCTTCCTTTAATGTAAATTCTTCTTATTCTTGGCCAATACAGTTGGTCCATATGGTTCATCTTTATCTATGAGAAATAATTTATCTTTTACCTTCTTTATTGAAGCAGTTAGCAAAGATTCCTGTTTAAAAGAACAAAATAAGGGAAAG